TCTTACTACCAAATCTTAACCGTTGATTTCCTTCAATCTAACGGTTATAATTTATTGGATTACATTTATTAATTAATTATTAATTTTCAATAAATTATAACCGTTAGATCAACGGAAATCAACGGTTAGGATTTGGTAGTAAGAAGTAGTAAAAAAAAAGGTAGTAAGTATAACATTTCCCTAGGTATAATATTGAAGTATATTTGCAATTTGAGCTTTTCTATACTATACCACTTACTTATTCTTACCTATCAAAACTCTTAATAAAACATACATTAACTTTGTGGTTTGAATTTTATTTTATTTTTAAAAAAATATGTGATTGTGAGAAGATGAAAGTTGATATTTATGCTCTTGTTCATTTCATTGAAATATTGCCCATATATTGGCTCCTGAATTACAAATTATAAATAAATTTGAATTGACAAACTCTTGTAACCAACTCATAAGATTGTAAATCATAAAAAATGCAATCAACTTCTATTACACTAAATACAAAACACAATCAGGGCTTATTTGGTGTGATGTATAAGACCTGATAGTATAAACTTATACTATACGTTATGACATTTTTAGTTGTTCGGAGTGACCATCGTATAATATAAGTTTATACAGCAAGATCAGTTAATACATCAAAACGATGTATAAGATAATCAGGTCTAAGGAGATGGGATTAGACCTGATAAGAGATTATGTATTTGGTATCATTTGTCTCTTCCCCTTCTACCCCTTTCTTTCCCAATCACCTTCGCCCCTCACTTCTCTTCTCCGTCCGCCACCATCTGTCACCGGAGCAACCTGATGTCAATAATAATGAAATATTTCTCGTTCTCCACCTCACACTTCTCCATACCCACCAACACCACCGTTCCTCCTCCTCTGCCACAACCATATCCTTCTCTCTAAAACCACCGCCGGACTCCAACAACTCCACCGTGCCTGGCAACTTCCGCCCCCCTCCAAACCCCTCAAAACCACCACACTCAACAACTCCCCTAAAACCCCCTTTAATCCATTTCATCAAATCAAATCTCATCTGAGTTTGTAAACAGCATTTCAATGGGTTTTGGGCACAAAAGAAATATTAGGAGACACCTTACTGCAAGAAAGAATCAGAAACATAAGTGCATGAGTCTTCACTTGTTATAGAGACATCCTCGTTTACATATAAAAAAGCCTCATGGATTTCTTGCTGAATTCTCCGACAAAGAACATGGAAACAGCTGACAAATGAACAAGGAAACTTGTTTCCTTCGGATGAGAAAGAAAATTGACCAAAAATCCCTTTTGTTGTTATGGACGAAACAAATTCTTTATGCTACAGTAAGAAGTTTTGAAGATTAAATTTGACCTTTCAAGGTTATTGAAAAATATGATGTTTTAACTTGTCAGTAAGCACTGAAGTCAGAATAAACTGTCGGAGGTAATGAGTTTGAGAGAGAAGGAATTAGAGGTATTTAAAGTATTACACCAAGAGACATCAAATTTGAAATGCTCAACAGTGTTACTTCAAGTTTAAGAAATCCTAAAAAAAATGCAAGCTATTGAGCTCTAATTTATATGGATCAAAATAACCATGCTTACGTCTATTAGACTTGTATATGAACATACTATTGAATTATATTACTAATATATCCAATATAGACTACCCACAACAAGGAGCATGAATAGCTTTCCAATAATTCTTATAACTATATGTATATAATCTCAAGCTGATTTTGGGTCAAAATAATCTGTTTATGTAATAATATGAGGTTGGAGCAACGAAGATTGTAGACATAGGAGACATAGAGTTTGCCAAATATAATGATGAGAAAGAAAAGCCTATTTGAATTTTACTAATTGAATTGGTATCAACTCTAATTCTTTAAACTTGGACAATGTAACATTAACACGAGACTTTTCAGCGTGTGTTGTCCTCACTCGCACACTTCTTGCGAAAACTTCTCAGGAGGTTACCCATCCCAGAATTGCCCCAAGTTAAGCACGCTTAACTATTGAGTTCTTCCGTTCTGGGCTACCCAAAAATAAATGCATCTTGTTAGTATAGGTAGTACCAATTAATTCTTATAAGTTATTTCCAACTGTACCGTCCCATACCAACACAGTCTCTGGAATCCCTCTATTTCAGGTGTTGATTTGATTCATTCATGTACCCCCTTCGCTGGAAGCATGCCAGGAGCCGCTCCTTGTCCATACCCTTTCGCACCGGCATTCACTCTCCGCCCTCGTCAGCTCCTGGGATGTTATATGCCCACCAGCTTCCGGCTAGTTCGTCCTCGAACCACACCGTACTGGAAGAGAGGCCTTGCTCTGATACCACTTGTAACGCCTGACAACTTGCAAGGATCAACGACTGTCCCCACACACTAACATGAGACTTTTCAGCGTGCTTTGTCCTCACTCGCACACTTCTCAGGAAAACTTCCCGGGAGGTCACCCATCCCAGAATTGCCCCAAGTCAAACACGCTTAATATGGAGTTCTTCCGTTTTGGGCTACCGAAAAATAGATGCATCTTGTTAGTATAGGTAGTACCAATTAATTCTTATAAGCTATTCTCAATTATACCGTTCCATACCAGCACAGTCTCTGGAATCCTTCTCTTTCGGGTGTTGATTTGATTCATTCATGTACCTCCGTCGCTGGAAGCTTGCTAGGAGCCGCTCCTTGTCCATGCCCTTTCGCAACGACGATTACTCCCAGCCCTCATCAGCGCCCGTGATGTTACAGACAACGATGATTACAAATATTTGATTTCAAACAACGATTAGGGTTATATTTATAAATTTTTTGCTTATAAACTCTTACAAACTATATTATGTACTACGAGTAATACATATTATTTGAGCATGTACTACCCGTAGTACATAATGTAGTTTGTAAAAAAAAAATTGTAAATATAACTTACCCCTAAAACAACTATATCTTATTTTATTTTTGGATAAACCAAATATATTTTACAGGAGGTAATCCTGTTCGAGTCAATAACATTCACATCATAGTGGAGCTAACTCTTCCAAAGAAAAAAAAAATTCACTCACAAAAATTAACTATATCTTATTTTTATCCAAATCCTTATGCTAAAAAAAATGAATAAGCTTCATAAACTCTATCATTGTTGATTTGGTGGACAAAAAAGGGGTAAGGTTGGTAGGTCGTTGTTAGTAGGGCTGACGTGGATTAGTGGAGGGGATTGGGTCTGTCTTAATGGGCCAATCGATTGGGACCATCCAAAACAGTATCAAATCTCACATGACTAAGTGATCAACGGATTACAAGTTCAATCCTCATCACCCTCATTTTATTAATAAAAATAATTAAATATTATGAAATTTTTTAACAAATATTAAGCTAGGTCTATGTAAACTCACTGGATAGCTTAAGCTTTTGGGCACTTAAACTTTAAATATTTAATGATATATTTTTTTAAACAATGTTAATTATAATTATAACTGAGTTTCATATAATTTTATTTCTTGATGCTAGAAAATGTTTGGCTTGGAAAACAAAAAACACAAACACTGACATATTTGGCAATGATAACATAAAGGATGTTTGATAGAAATATGAAATGTTAATGTTTACAGTTAAGGCACATAATTTATTAAAATTAAAATATTAGGAAATAATTTATCAATAAGTATAACATTGAAGTATATTTGCAATTTGAGCTTTTTCTATTCAATTACCAGTTACTTATTCTTACCTATCAAAACTCTTAATAAAACATACCTTAACTTTGTGGTTTGATTTTATTTTATTTTTAAGTGTGATCGTGAGAAAAAAAATTTATCTCAACTTTCCAAGTTTTTTCTCCTTTCACAAATCTGAAAAGGACAATTTTGTAAGACGAGATGATGTCTTTCTCTTCCTTTGCTATAACAGAACAATGTGCACTCTCTACCTTTAGGAGTAGATTCGTTGCTGCCTCTGGGTCACAACAGGGATGGTTTAAGGTGCATTTGGTCATCGCCTTTGGTTTAATATTGAAAGCATTAAATGCGGGGATAACCATACAAAGGATTAAAGCATTAAATGTGGAGAATCATAATTATACACCTGTCGTTGTTATACGTAAAGCGGCAAATGATTTTACCTTTTAGCACATGTCCGCACTTGCGGACATGAATTTCAGAATTTTTTTTTTTTTTTTTTAAGTATAGTAGTAAAGTATGATGTTGGTTAAATTAAGCTTTGCTTGGATATATAATAAGAATAAATAATGAAAGATGGAATAGAAATGAATGAAATACGGTGAAATGGAATGTGATTACATATATTTTATTGGATATTTTATGATGCTATACAACAAATCCGCTTGATTAAAAAAAAGTGTTAGGAATAATCTTTTTATGTTAAGTTGAAGTTTTTTTTCTTATTTATATCTTTTGTTTTTTAATGCATTTAAAATTGGGAAAAGTTCACCAATGCCGCTGTGTTTTTTTTATCACATATGCCCATGTGGTTTGCAAAAGGGTATGTTTTTTATCACATATATCTCTGTGGTTTTTTATATTTTACAAAGCACAGGGGCATATGTAATAAAAAAAAATCACATGGACATAGATGATTCTGAAGCAAACCATAGAGGCATTGGTGAACTTTTTCCTTTAAAATTTATTAAAAAATTTTTTTTGAAGGCGCTGCCCTCGAACCCCCAAACTCTAGTCACTAAATGTGAGGACATAAACAATAATTTCTGGGTCCGCCACTGGCTGCACGTACAGCAGCTGTAGAAATGTAAACCCAGAAAAAAAAATCATATTTATACTAAGGGTTTTATAAGAGTTATGTTGTAGGAAAAGTGATTGTGTTATGTTATGGAGATTCGTTTTGCGTGCCGAAGTTTTTTTTTTTTTTTGCTGCGGGCCCCACAAAATATTGTGTGTGTAAGAAACTTTTTGTGATCATGTTAAATGATAGATGATAAACCCTTATACTAAAGCAACGGAAATCTATACTACAACTTATGTAATGCCATATTCCTAAAAACTAAAAGTGCTTACTTAAATGCACGAACTTTTACAGAACAACAAAATACTCATATTATTATAGTATCTTAGTGATTACATATGAAAACTTTTGATTTAGTAATTATTATTTCTAACAAACACAACTGCTTAGTGATTGACTCTCTGCATGACACTTGGTGGCAAGTTTTGTCCATTTTTGCTTAAATTATCTGGAGCCACCACGTCCTGTTGCTTTGAGGAAGGAGGCACTCTTGGTTATCTCACGCAGTGGTTTATCTGTGTACCTAATGAGGTTGTAGACACATGCTCCTGCCACTGCCCCCAGAACCGGTGCCACTAAATATATCCATATTCCTCTGTATTCATGGTGCACAAAAGCAGGTCCTAGGCTTCTAACTGGGTTCATTGATGCTCCTGTCACTGGCCTGTCATTTAACAAATGTTGTTATTAAATATTGGCACAATTTTGAAATGGATGAGATCATGTGATGTTATGAACTTTTATTACATGACATGATCTCAGCCATTAAGAATATGTGCTTTTAACTCCAACAATATAATACTCAATAAATTAGTAAAAGGCTACTCTTGAACTTTGTATTTAATTAGGTTTTGGATATGTTAATACCCTGAAATCATCACATTCAGAAGTATCGTAGACCCAATTGCAATCCCAGCCAACTCACCAATCTGCGGAATTTGAAAATAAACAAAAGCGTGAAATGGGGTTTAATAAGAAAATTTCATGGATATATTACTTATTAACATGACATAAGCCTTGTGATGTAAAATTCTAGCATTGTTGCAATTTGCAAGTGATTCAAAACGATAAGGATATGTAGACAATTAGTCAATTTAGCCTTAATTTTAGTGTCACCCATGGCTCTGCTCTTAATTTTCATTCATCGGGCTAAATTGGAAGTGGTCCCTAAACGATACAAGTATATCCATACAAATCGGAATTTTTTCATAATGTTTTATTATCCAAAAAAACAATAGTATAAGAATAACGAGAGAGTTATACTTATGATACAATTTCCCAACTACTTTTATGGTTGTTGGATCACAATTAAATTAACAATTCATTAATTTGAGTTTAATCCAACAATCATAAAAATGATTGTAAGAAAAAAAATTGTTTCAAATATGACCTTCCTCTACATATAATGTCAAAATTTGTATATGCAAATATCATTATTCACAAATAGATCATATATATCATAAGGGTTTTATTAATCTCATGTTAAAAGATATAAGTTATCTCATATGTCATAGAGACAAATTTGTGGGCTCCACCATCTAGAAAAAAAAAAAAGGTGATACAATTATCGAAAGGTGTGTAAGAGAAAAAGTTATTACATGTAACATAAGAGTAATTTTTCCCGTATTATAAACCATAACCTCTGTACTTGACCATGTACCAAGAAAAAAAAATGCTCTTCAAATCCCATCAGAAAATTATGTGCCAAATTAACAAAAGAGAGAAAAGTGAGAAACGTTACCGCTCTGTTATCAGTGGCAACCCCGGATATGACAAACATAAGGAAAAATGTGATTATGAATTCAATAACAAAAGCTTGCAGATCAGATCCTACTGGGAGTGTTCCTGAAAACTGGTCATGCTTGCCACTGAATGTTAGTTTCAGAGTACCACTTGCAAGTGTGGCTCCAAGGAGCTGAGCTGTTACATAAGATGGTACCTACGAAGGATAATTACATCACAAGACCGTACCAATAATTTCAACACAAAATAGAGGAATAAGCTCTGTTTGATACCATAAACTTCCTAGCTACACGTTCAACGAGGTATATATATATATATATATTGGCAATAATGAAATAGTACGAGAAGACCAAAGAACAATAGGTTAAAGAGGAATTTCAATTTCAAGAAAAACGACTTTAAATAATCTTCTTTTCTTGTATACCCGGAGATAAGATAACAACACCAAAAGGAAAGTGACACGATATAAAATATTTTACCAATTTATTTTAGAGAAAGGGATCGGTTTAGAGTCGTGTAAGTCAAAATCATTCTACTTGTTGTTCATTTTGATACTAATAATTGAGATAATATATACTTGAATTTTCAACAGTCAATAAAAATAGTTTTTAAGTAAAGTTATCAAATATTATTCCTCTTTATTTTAACCAAGTTGAAAGAGTAAAAAGGTTCACCTGAATCAAAGGAAACCTCCTGGTGATAGCAAAAGCAATAGTAACGGCAGGATTGAAATGGGCACCAGAGATGTGACCAACAGAGTAAACAAGAACCATCACAACAAGTCCCCAAACAATTGCGACCCCAGGAAGTGTAACAATATTGTTGTTGTTTTTGTTCACCACCACTGAAGCACAGCCTGCAAATATTAAGAAATATGTCCCCACCACCTCAGCTAACAACTGTATTCATCATTCAACAAAAACATATTGTCATCATTTCTATTCCACTTTTTTCAAGTTCAATATCATCAACAGATTAGTCCAAAATGAACTACTATACACACAATAGTATTCCATAACAACAAAAAGTATCAGATTTCTCAAAAGAAAGATTAGGAGATACCTTCTGCAAGAAAGGCACAGAGATATAGGTGCCTGAGCCTTCAATTGAGTTGGAGACCTCCTTGTTTACATTTATAGCTACCTCATCATGGTTTTCCATTCTTGTTGAATTCTGAGCTATAACCAAGACAGAACACAACAACAACTTTTTATAAACAGCCAAGAACACTGTTCTTTGTCTCCTCAACCAGAAGCTATTAAGAACTCAGCAAACAACTCCTATTTATAGGCCCCCAAAATATCAAAAAAGACAAAATAATAATAATTTGAAGTTCTCTTAGGTCTTAACCGATACTTCTAATTATACTATTAATTATAAAGTATAAATATTCTATATGTTTTTACTATTTTTAATATATTTAAATATATTTAATTTTCATTTAATTAATTTTTTTATTAAATATTTAGATGATGGTTGACGAAATATTTCAAGAGGTTAATTAGGCCATTATCCAAATAGGAATATACGTACAGCTCTTAGAAATTGGACTTTTCTTTCTCACGGATTGATGAAACAACCCTTTTGAATGTTATTAAGTTTTGAAGATAAGATTGTATTACTACTAAGTATTCGAGCATTTTACGGGTACCAATATTTAAGAAAAAATTTTTAAAAAATATATAATAATTGAAATTTGATTTTAAAAGAATGAATTAAAAAATTTAAATTACGCTCAAAAGAATATATTCTGATTTATTATATAAAAATAGATTAATTTCATGAATATCTGATAAGATAAATTTAAGTTCGATGATCAATTATTTGAACTAATTTTTTTTAAAAAAATTGTCGATATGATGAAGTTTGCAATTTAATTATATTACTTTTAAATCATTTCAATTTAAAGCTAGAATCTCCTAGAGGCCAGTGTGATATTTCATAATTCCTAAAAATTTATTGTCAATAACAATAATTTAATATTATATAAATTTAGTAAGTTATATTGACATGGTGCATGATTACTTGATTGGTAGAATTATTATTATTATTATTATTATTATTATTATTATTATTATTATTAATTTGGTAGATGGTAGAATTATTTCGAAACATTAAGATTCTTGTGTTATGATTTAATTTTTTTTATGAATAATTAATATACCTGCTTGTTTTATTTTCGACAAATCTAAAATGTCAGGAGTAGTAGTTTATGTTCAAAGAGAGGGAAAATTTGGTCACTTCAGGTACTCATACTAGAGAATAAAAAAAGAAAAATCCTCAATCAATTATCATTATTCGCAATAATTAAATTTGGAGTTTTTCAATTCATATTGGCATCAGACATATTATGTTATTATGATTCTAAATATTACATAATAATTATTAATTATGACACTATTTAATATTTATTTGGTAGTGTGATACTACGGTCATACGAGCTTACTCTAGCCAAAATGTCAGGAGTAGGAGTTTATGTTCAAAGATCTAAAAAATTTCTTTTATAGTTTGACTAAAAAGGTCAAACAGCCGTCTCTTAATATTAATCATTATTAAAATGATTAATTGGTTTTTTTATTTATTATCCAACCCTAATTATTTTTTTGAGACGGATTGGTTTTCCGTATCATTATAAGTTCCGGCTCTTTGAATCCCTTTCAAAGGTGACATATGGGATCAAACCGAAGCCATTTTTCTTTTTACTACTTAACTCATTTGCTATCACTTGAGCTACCATTATATTATTTCGTGATTAATTGAAGTGGTTAATTTACTTGTTTATATTATTTTGAGATAAATTATATGTATCTTTCTCATGAGACAATTCTGTTTGAGTCAGAAACATTCACACTATAATGAGACTAGCTCTTCTAAATGAAATCAAACACAATTTTAAACAAATCATATTAATTTACCTATTTATACTTTTAAACGCCGTTTGAAATTAATTATATTTAGAATTTATTCTTTGATAGCATAAGTTTTATTTTTATAATTCTATTATAGTATTATGTATTCCACATCCAGGACTATGACATTTCCGCTTGTGAGCTGAGAATGCATTGAATGCCGAATCAACTACCCTCCCAAAAAAGAGTACCCACCGAAAATACAGATAGGGTCATGAACAGCTTTCAGATGATCTTTTTCTTTTTTTTCGCAGCTATGCACATGCCAATTTAATTCGTTTCCTTCTCCTTTTTTTTTTTTTTTTTGGGTACAAATTTCCTTTTTCTTTTGTCGCATCTACATTGAGTTCATATCTCATCTCAAACTTTCATATAGTCCTAATATACCATCTAAAACTTATTTTGGGTCTATTCTATTTTATTTGTTTCCCTAAGTGGCTGATCATTCAAGTGGAATGTATATGCGTTCATAAATATCATTCTTAACTTTCTTTTATCTAAGAGAAAATACACATAGTGTACATTTATAAGTTCTAGTTGTTATCCATCAGCGTCACAGTTTTGAACGAAAAATGCCAGATAGAGCTTTAGCAAAAGACGAACATAAAAAGTTGGTTTTTACGGAATTAATCGATTGGTAAAAATGATAAATTGACAAATGTTTTCTTAGGAATTATCCGCTAGTCCACATCCTAATGATTGTCCAAATATGAATAAAACTAAAGGGAAAAACAAATATCAAATAGGAATTATATTTCAAGATGAAGGATGTGGTAAAATATTTATTAACGAAATGCCGACACGTTAAAACTTGAAGGAAGCAGTGGTTCGCTATGCCCAAACACTTCTTTCCAACGTTTGTTATTTTAAAAAACGAATGTTAACTTGCGGCGATTCTTTGAACTGATGCGACATTTTATTGAAAGAAATTGTTATAATATATTTGGTAATATATATAATTTTAGGGTTTTACGGGAGTATGAAAATTGAAATTTTTCTATATACTCTTCAATTTTCGTGTTATAATATGGTTCTTATATATAATCTTTTCTAATATATAGGTCTCACATACTTTTTGTCTCTATAATATAAGATTTTAATTCTCATGTAATATGAGAATTATAAAATTCATATTTTACATGAGAATTATAAAATCCATATTTTTAGTGAGAAAAATATTTCTGCAATTAAGACAGAAAAATTATATGCAGTACATTATGTATTACGAGTAGTATATAATATAATTTTTGAAATCAAAACAAAAATAAAATTCATTTCAAAAATTACATTATGCATTATGGGTACTACATAGTAAAGAGTTCATTTTAAAAATTATATTATATACTACTCGTAATATATCTTTCTTTAAATTATTCTATTCTCGTGGTAATATTTTCAAAAGAAATGGAATACAAATCGATTCGTATTACTTGTATTCCATTCCAATTGAAATATTTTTAAGATTTATATCTCGATGAACTGGCTTTTTCCAAAGTTATATATGGAAAATAAGGAACTGCGGAACTCCTACCCCTATTCTATTTTTTTTGTCCCCTTCTTTCTTTTTTCAAAAAAAAAAAAAATAGTTCTATACTATTAAATGGATACAAAAATTTTATAGGAAATCGACGCAGGAAGTGTCTAATGAGATACTACACATAAAAAAATAATATTATTCTTTGGGAACTTTGATTTCTCCTGTTTCAGCCTGTGCTTTATAAATTGCTTCAGCACAAAATAAGAAACGGTCTCTCCAACGCATAAATGGTTGAGAATTCACATTTTCAACATCTTTCGTAAAATCAAGTCCACCGCGAAGACATTCATAAACTGCTCTACCGTAATTCTTAACAGATAATCCCAATTTAAATTTAATAGTACATCCCAATAGAAGACGGCCATAGTTGTTCAATTTATGTCTTTGAACTTGGATACCGTAATATCTTAATTGTCTAGTATAATATCTTTGCAGCACCAAAGATTTGGGTATAATATCTTTGCCGTCTTAAAGTTGCTTGACTAACTCTTTGTTATGAAATTACGAGAATAGGGCTATGTCAAATTGTTTATATTTGGTGTAAGGGTAATGTCAAATGTGGAATTTGAATATTTCTTTGAGGAGAGATTGATTAAGATCAATAATAATCATTTGGTTTAAAATATTTGTTATCAACTTCATTTTTGCTCCATAAAGTGGCCGGAACTACTTACTTAATATTTAGTAAATACGTCACATTAATTTCATGAAAAAACTATCAAAATAATTATGGTTGAGTAATATTTTTCTTTAAATTTTTTTAGCATCTGTCCATATACATACAGATTTGCTCTTAAGATAAAAAAATTAACATACGCATAACACTTTAAAGTCAAAAAAGAGGTCCAATAACCATTGTGCGTTGGCACCGTTTCAAAAGCAAGAAGCACAAGTGCACAACATAGTAAAAAACAAAATTAAGAAGACACTTTGATTTGGACTAAAGATTCCGTTCACACCGTACACCGAAAAGAATAAATTGGGTTCACACTATTTCTAGGCAATAGTGAAAAGCTTTGAGCTGATATCACATTTATGTCATGGCAACGTACTTGGCTATTTGTGATGCTGTAAATTCAACTTATCACCTTGAAAAAGATCGAGATCGTGCAGGTTTAAAAAGTTGAAGACAATCTTAACCATAAAAAACAAAATGTAACAGTCCAAGAGCGAAAAAAATGTTATAAATTGCAACTCATGCTGTTTCTGGTTAATATCAATTATATATCAGCTTGGCGTGCTCCATTCAGTTCCTTTTTGTAGTTAAATGAAAAGTTAACGAAAATTGAATATTTTAGTTCTTTAATAACATTTTTTTGGGTAAAAGTCATTCGCTGGCCTTTTCTTTCTTGTGGAGGGTGGAGTCATTTGTCCTTATTTAATTTCATTCAAATTGGGTTTGCTCAAATTCTCAATTACAGATTTTCAAATAAATGGCATGCATCTCTATCACATAAATGGCATGTGCCTCGTCATTTCAATTTTTCAATCTAATTCAAGCGATTAAGCAACACTTGTCACCATTTTCTTTTTGTGGATTTTGTCACAAATTTTAAATATCATGCAAGTGCATCACCATCTAAAATAGAATATAATGGAAGTCGATTATATTCCCTATATTTATATATTATTATCACCAATCGAGTTAATCAACTAATAATGTGTTGTTTTAATTTAATTAATAATCTTAAATTTTAGTATCTGGAAACGTGAATCATGTAACAATTTCTTACGTTGTATGATACAGAGAGAACAAGAAAAAGAAAAAGAAAATGATTGGATTTTATATGTCTTATTTTAATAATATTATGTTATATGAT